CAGCGATGGCCAGGATCCCTCTCCTTGGGAGCAGAGAGCAAGTGACAGGGTGAAGCACGTCCTGTCCGCCCTCACTGGCTTTCCTCTGGGTGTTCGGAGGAGCTTACAGCCCCGGCTCCCACCGGCACGGGGTGGGCTTTTACGGTGGGGAGCTGGCGCTTGAGCGGGAGGCGGTGACCCTCCGCGGTCGCAGAGCCTCCACGCTGAGTTTGGGAGCTCGGGCCGGTCCCTTTGCCATCGGTTTTCCTCCAGCTCTGGCGTTGGGCTCCCCAGGATCGCGGCGCTGTCCCTGTTCCCCGTGGATGAGGCAGGGCGGGCACTGGCCGAGCCCCTCGCGAGGGACCCGGCCGGAGCTTGTGCTTTTCGGAGGCGGCGCAGCCCTGTCAACTCCTCACTTGCCCCTTTTCCTCCCTTCGCCCGCCCCAGAGTGCGGCGGGAAGAACTTCCACCTGGTGCACAGCTCGGCCGACGTGGCCAGCGTGGTGAACGGGACCCTGCGCTCGGCCTTCGAGTACGGCGGCCAAAAATGCTCCGCTTGCTCCCGCCTCTACGCCCCGGACTCGCTGTGGCCCCAGATCAAAGAGAAACTGCTGGAGGAGCACAGGAAGATCAAAGTGGGAGACGTGAGTGGAGCTGCCGGGCTGCTGAAGGGCTTTGCGGCTCAGCGGGTGGTTGATGGGATTAGAGACTGCGGTAACTGGCTACTAATTCCTATTGAACCGAGCTTTTTATCCACTGGTTCTCCCCACCACCGCCCCTCTGTCCCCCCCTTCATTTTTTTTTTTTTTTTTTAAAAATTAGAAATTAACTTGTAGCCAGTGTCTGCAGGAAGGATTGTGTAAGTCGCTGAATACTGCAGACTAATTGAAAAGGGGTAGCTTGCGCCCTCGACCAGAGGTGTGTTTGGAGCGGGTGGGCCATGTTAGCTGGGGAATTTCAGCTCCTCCGAATTTCAGAGTTAGCTTGGTTTTGGCACAGTATGTACTTACATTGCCACCTTTCTGGCTTCCCACAGCCCGCCCAGGACTTTGGGACGTTTTTTTCTGCGGTGATCGATGACAAGGTGAGCTCATCGCTCCTGTTTCTACTCGTGCAGGAAGGTAACACCACCAGGCTGTTATTAAGCGCTAGGATGAATGGTTTTTTACTGCTTACAGCAAAGTATGAACCTCAGTGATCAGCTAGAGCTGACTCTCAGCCCTCTTTTGCTCCCTCCTGGGGTATCGCATGCCGCAGTCACCACTCGGCTTGAAAAGCGGGTTATTTTGCTGAGAAACTCTCAGGTGTAAGGTTCAGAGTGCCCAGGGCTGTACTTCCAGCTCCCAAACCTCCTTTTATTACCTTCCCAAACCCACACTCTTTTTTTTTTATTATTACTTCCTTTTCTCAGTCTTTTGCACGGATAAAGAAGTGGATCGAGCACGCCAAGAAGTCGTCCAACCTCACCATCCTGGCAGGCGGCGGCTGCGACGACAGCGTCGGGTACTTCGTCGAGCCGTGCATCGTGGAGAGCAAAGACCCCCAGGATCCCATCATGAAGGAGGTGAGAGCGGCGCGCGGGGAGGTGGCAGGAAAGGTGCCAAAGGGGCTGTAGGTCCCGGACCTGAGGTGGAATTGCGCACCGAGTGGGTGTGGGGACGTTCCTCGGCGTCACAGGTTTAGCTGATCGGGTGCTGAAGCTCCCGCCGCTAACTTTTGGAGGCTGTCCCCGCCCAATGCTTTGTATTTGTTGCTCTACAGGAAATTTTTGGCCCGGTCCTCACGGTGTACGTCTACCCGGAGAAGCGGTACAAGGAGGTCCTGGAGCTCATCGACACCACCACGCCCTACGGCCTCACGGGGGCGCTCTTCGCCCAGGAGAAGTAAGTGCCAAAATCCTCCAGACACCCCTTGTGGGATGAGCTGAGGAGGGAAAGGGGATGCCTCTAAAGTGGGGTTTTCAGCCCAAAAATGCTTTTTTGGTGAGGAACTATCCCAAAGGAGCCTGTGGGAGGATGCACCCCCAGCCCCCTCATGTAGGAGGAGGGCTAAGAGCAGCGTAACCTCAAAGAGGGACCATCCTTGAGTTAGAATCACCTTCATTTTACAACAATAAAACTTAAAAAGAGAAACAAACGAAAAGGAAACAAAACTGGGATAACCCAACGAAGTTCTAAGTGTGCACGGCCCGTTGCAGTGGGCGTTAAACAACGCGCCGTCCTGGCAGCGCGTGCGAAGGAGGGCGAACCCGCTTTTTGCGCAATTTTAATTGCCCCAGAAGGGCAGAGGCCTCTGCACGAGCTTTCGCCCCGGGCGTCGCGCTCGCAGCCGCGTCTGTCCCTCCTTAGGAGGATCATCGACGAAGCCAGGAACCTGCTGCGCAACGCGGCCGGCAATTTCTACATCAACGATAAGTCGACGGGCGCCGTGGTGGCTCAGCAGCCCTTCGGGGGCTCCCGCATCTCAGGTGAGACCGAAAACTCCCGGCCGGAGGCGGCGCTTCCCTGCGCGGCCGCTCGCCGAGCCGCCTCCCCCTCTGGGCCAGCCCCCCGTCCTCCCTCTCGGGTTCACCATCTCGGCATCACCATCTCGGCGTCACCGGCGCTTTCTTTCCTCCTGCAACAGGCACCAACGACAAGCCCGGTGGCCCCCACTACATCCTGCGCTGGACGTCTCCCCAGGCGGTCAAAGAGACCCACGTGCCGCTGACGGACTGGCGCTACGCCTACATGCAGTGATGCCTTCTCCCCGGCCCCGCGCCGCTGCTACTGATCCTCGACGCACAGAGTGGCTTCGCAGCTACAACCTTACAAAAAGCACTTAAATCTACTGATCTTTGACTCGATGAGCTTGAGTTTTATTTTTAAAGAAAAAATATATTATTAAATTGTTAACTCAGAAAAGAAAAACGTCCTTGTGGTTTCCTTTGCCATCCAAGCACGCTTCGTTGATGAATTAAGGGGTGGCTGGAGGTGGTTGCAGCATACCTGTGCCCCAGGTTCCCTTTTCCTCCCGTTGGGTCCAGCCCGAGCGATCCAGCGCGGTTCCCTCTTGACGGGGCTGAGCGCACTGGAATCAAAGCAGGGGATGAGCATTAAGAGGCTGGCCCCGTCCCGGTCACCTGCAAGCAGCACTGACCTTCTCCTTCTCCGTCCCCAAGCCACCGTTTCCCCGGCAGAGCGTGAGCTGCCCCAGCAGAACTCCCTGGAAGTTGAGCGCTGCCTGTGCCAGCCGTTCCAGGAGGAGCGGGGGCTCCTTTTGAACCAGAGATCGCTGCGGTGGGAGCCCTGAGCTGTATCTGCTCCCCGGTCCCGAGCAGGAGCAAAGCCTCCAACACACCCAAATGGTTTTGCTGGGGGACAGAAGGGACATTGGGCCAGGAGGGGGCAGCTGTGAGTGCTCAGAGATCATTTAAGCGCCTTATTTCACCCCTCTGAAGCCAGCGGCAGGTGTTACCTGCCCATTACCTTGCAAATGGCACCAGGGTGTGCTCAGGCATCGGGCGGGTGGAGCTCAGTTCCGCTCTTTTGGGGTTTTTTTTTCCCCCCAACACCCCACTCTGTTCCCTTGTTCCGTTACCCGTGGCGAGGCCAGGCTACCTCCGGGGCTTCCCATCGCTGGTTAAAGCTGCTCCCACCGCTCCGACCCGCGCGTGTCCGCTGGGAGGAAGCGGGAAGATTGTAAGAGGAGGTGTAGCAAGAAGAGGAACGCTCCTGCGCAAGCTGCTTCGGTGGAGGCAGCATCCCTCACCTCTTCTAGAAGGACTTTAAGCACCAGCAGGGACAACGGGAGGTCTGCAGTAACTGGAGCAAGGTGCATCTCCGGCCTGTTGTGCTCTGACCAGGACCCCACTCCCGTCCCGGGGAGCTGCTCGCAGACACGGGCCCGGCTCTGCGAGCTGCCGAGTTCAGAAGTTAAATCAGTTCGGACCTTTGTGGTCCCTGGGAGCTGCGTGGGCTCTGCCTCTCGCTGGGGGGGGGTCCTGCAGTGCCCACGCGAAAGGGGATCTTAAGCACAAAGGTCTTGCATCCCTCTCGGATCTGATTTAGAAACGTAGATTTTGTAACACCTACAATTAATAAGTGCTCGATTATCAGGCTTTGCAGGTAGGATGGCTAACCCTGCGAAAGCTGGTGTAATAAGCATTAAGCCCGGATCTCGTGCATGGCTGGGCTGGTGTTTAGCATGCGGGTCATGGAGGCGTTGCATTAAGACCTGTGAATCCCGGTTTAACTGAGAAAATTTGCAATAAAATAAACTACAAAAAACTTTGTGTTCTTTTATGAATTATTGCTTCAAATGGTTGCCAAATAAAGAGCTAGATCGAGCGTGCATTCAGGGCCTTCATGACCCATGCACCGCGGTGGGGAAAGATGGAACAATAAGGGACTCCCCAAAACTGCTGCTTCTGCCTCTGAACAGGCCGTTGCTGTTTGTCCTGGCAGCTCTGCTCAGTTTGGGGACCCGACTGCGGGTACTCTCTGTCGCGCTGCTGCACCCACCGCCAACCAACCCTTGTGGCTGCTGATTATTTCTTAGAAAAAACACCTCTCTGCTCTCCTCTTCAGCAGCTGCGCCAGGGCACGTGGGCTGCCACGGCGCTGCCTTCTGCACGTGCTCACACGGCAGCGCTCCCCCCAAAAAATCAGCCTTCTGGCTGCGCTTCTCACCGCACGCTTGTCCCAGAAAGAAAACAAACAAACAAACAAACAAAATAAAACCACCCCAGCTTCGTATTTTCTGCTAAAAATAAGACACTCCCCTTGCATGAGGATGAGAGAGGCAGGAACAGCCGAGTAGGCACCTAATTCAGTATCACTCGGGTTCCTGCAAAGCAGCCTCTTGCTGGTACCGGGAGGGCGCGCAGCAGCCCAGTTCAGCTCCAAGAAAACCCGAAGCCCACAGCAGGGAGGGAAGGACAGGGCCTACCCCGACTTCAGGGATGGTCTGTGAACCCCCAGAGATCGCCCAGGTGGGACCACAGCGATGTCCCATTCAGCCAAGCCACCTCCTAAACCCAGCTTAGGATAAGCCCCCGTAAAGCTCCTCCGAACGGCATCCCCGAACCTTTCCAGGTTGGCCCATCAGCTCATTTAAATCTCATTAAGGGCTCTGCTTTGCAGCCCCCTCGCCGGGGCAGCCGGGGGATCAGGAGAGCCACGGCCCAGGAGCCAAGTGCTCCTTCAAGCCTCTGCCTTTGGCTCATGCCTTTCATGACTTAAGGCCAGAGTGTCAAGTGGATTTTTTTAGCCTTAACTCTGAATTTCATGGCTTTTGTGACTTTAAATCAGGCCCCTAATGCTATTTAAACAGTTGGCTTTTTGAAGCTGATAAACGCTTCGGTAGGTGTTTGGGAGAGACGGGGGCTTTTGCGGCAGACCCCCGGGCACTCTCCTGCCTGTTCAGGTGCTCCTGGACCGCTCTGCCCTCCGCCGGGATGGGGAAAACACATCTGCAGGGAAGGAGGGACGAGGAAAGGGGTCGGGGAGGGGGGCGTAGGGACTCTGCATAATCCCGTGGTGCCCAATAAAGAGAGGCAACAGGTTTGGAGCATCTCCGGAGAGGATTCAATCCCATTCCCGTGCTCAGCCAGAGCTGGCCTGGCTCTGAGCATCCCGAAGTGCTCGGCTATCCGTGCTCGGAGCCGGGAGGGATGCTGAGCCAGGATCTCTCTAGGAAGTGGCAGATTTTCCCCTCTGATAACACACGGCTCCATCTGCTTCCCGTTAGCAGCCCTGGCTGAGCATAATTGGCAGATCAAACCCTCCGATGTCCCACGTTAGGTACATCGTTAGGAGAGTCCGGCGCGAGTCCGACGCGTCTTGGACGGAGCCCAAACGCCTTCCCCCGCCACCCTGGGCTGCGCAGGGGTGCTAATGCAAACCACCCGGAGCAGCCCAGGAGCTGGGGGGTGGCGAACAGGCAGCGAGACGGCAAAGTCTCGGCTTTAAAGCGAAGCAAAGCAGGAAACCGAGGCAGCGCGGCCCCGTTCGTCCATGGGGGGATAAAGTGGGAGAGGCGGAGGACAGGCAGGGTGCTTTGCTGTAGGGAGACCTGCACAGCAACAGCCACCTTCTTTTGCAGAAGCAGGGATGCTTGTGGCTTTCTGGGCAATTTAAAAATTCCCCAGATTGAACGGGAGAGGCAGTGACACGATGATGCAGTTGCTGCCCTAATTTTAGCCTCTCTGCTGCTTTTTTTTTAAAAAAAAAGAAAAAAGGAAAGATTGAACTCTCTAAGGGCAGCGCCTGCAATTCCCCACTCTTAACGCACACCTTGGGAAGGGCTGCAGTTCAGGGCTGGGAAATGCTGGCACCACATCCCGAGGGTGAGGGGGATGACCCATTGCCTTGCCACGCACACAGACGCAAAAACCAGACCACAAAGGAGGAGCTCGATTGCATTTGACTTAACGGGGGTTAGAGATGAGCCCTTAACCTCCCTCTGAGGCGTCAATAACTGAGGGCTGAACCTTCTCCTGGGCAGCAGCTTGCAGCCAGGGGAAATACTGCACCAAACAGGCTTCACCGGGGCCTCTCTGTGTCGCAGGAGACGTTGGGGTCCCTGCAAAGCCCCGTCGGGTGGGGGACACGCTCTGATCGGGGTGCTGCTTTGCAGCACACGTGCTTGGAAGGGGCTGGGAGCTTGAGTTGGCTTTGCAAACTCCCACCATCCCAACAGCCACATCTTTTCCTGCCCAGCGCTCCGGGAAGCCCTGCCAGCAGTGAGCCTGGGTTCCCAACAGCTTCCCAACGGAAGGTGAATCTCTGCTCTTCCCTACCAAGACCCCCTCCCTGCAAGAGCAGCACCCACCTGAAGGCAGCTCCCACAGTCCTTCACTGGAGGAGCACGGCCCCACATCACCGCAGACCCTCACCCTCTCTCCCTTCCCAGCCCTGGCTTTTGGGCTCCTCTCCCAGTGCTGCCCAGGCCGGGGTCCCTTCCCCAGCTGGAGCCTGGTTAGGGGCTGCAGCTGGCTGGGGCGGAGGCTGCTGCCCATCCTGTGCCCCTCTTTGCACCAAACTGGTTTGGAGGGAGACATTATGGGCTCGCTCCTTTCCCAGCCTGCATGATTTCCTCCTAAAAATCCTATAAACAGTGTCCTGCAGGAGGGATTCCCTCCTCAGCCAGTGCTTCAGGCTGGAGAGCAAGTACTAAATGCAATCCAAGAGGCTGATTTTACCTTTTGCTGGTGCCAAGGGGGTGGTGGGCCAGTGTTCCTGACCAGGAGGTGGGAGGGGTCTTACCTTGTTTTGCAAGGAGAGGCCAGAAGAAACTCACTACACAGATGCTCCAGGGGTGAAGGGCCATGGAGGATGCAGGGAAGGGCCAGGGTTGGTTGCAGGATAAAGGGAATATCTTACCTTTAAATCCCTTGAAGTTTTGCTTGCTGGAAAACTGCTTGAGGCTGAAAACTTTTTGGATCCCACGGTGCCTGTGAGGGGAGCAGGGGGTGTGTCTGTGTGTGTCTGTGTGTCTGTGTGGAACTCCCCCCCGTGTGCCCTCGCTGCGTCCCCCCCCACCTCGCTGGCGGGGATGCTGCTATTTATGGGGTACATCTGCTGCCCATCGTGGAGGCAGCAGCCACGAGCC